TGAAGCATGAAGTACCCAAACCACAAATCCCAGGAGGTATATTTCAGAATCATATATTTTAACTCTTGGATAAAAATGGAAAATGTTTCAGTTTTCAGGCACTGAGTTATTCAGTTAAATTTCTTTTTTCCTATGAAAGTAGACACCTTGTGAAAAAAATGTTTAATCAAAAGTCATATTTTATATCAAAAACATTTTGGCAAATACTTATTAACCAAATATTTTGTTGGTATGTACAGCCAAATACAAATTGGGCTGTGATACTTCCTGTGATATACCTTTTTAATTTCTCCAGGTTCAGCTACCTTTGCTCATTCTGACTTGAAAATATTAATCCCAAAACCTACAGAAACTGAGTTTAGGTGTCATTACCAGCCTCCAACCCAGGCCTGTGAATTAATGGGCCTTTCCTGGGAAAAGGGATGCAATGCAAAACAGTATGCTCCAAAAAAGAGACCTGGTAAGAATTTATTTGTCTTAAAAACTTAAGTAAAATACTGAAAATTGATGAAAATAATGGATTCACATTTTGGTATTGTACAGCTCTTTGGAATCAGTATCAGCTGAAACTGCTGTGACTATTATATTGATTCTTCACAACCCTCTGGTAGTCTAGAAGTTGTTTACTGAAGGCTGATGATTTCCTGTGAAAGAAAGAGATGCACCTGTTCCTTTAGGAGAGTCCAGGGTCACTTTGCAACATGCAGTAGTTCTATATTTGAGGGGCGTGTCTACATGAGACACATTAATGTGTATTAGCCCAATTTAAGGCATTATTGCATGCATGTGTCTACATGTGCAAGCCCTTAATGCACATTAAAAATGGCAAAATAGGCTAACTGCACCTAAATGCAAATGCAGATATCAAATTTTGGCGTGATTACTTAAAGTGCATTAATGCACATGTAGATGCAACCTGGCACTAACCACTGCCCAGCCACTAGGCACACATAGCAGGGCTGCAGGGTACCAAGTGCACTAACTTTAGTGCCAAGTCCCTGCATGTGTAGACATCTGCCAAAAATTGTTTAACAAACATTAGTTTAATGAGTGTTAAATTTAGTCATGCTTGAATGTATGTGTAGATGCACCCAAGAGGTTTTCAAAAGTGCTTCTGTCTGTTCCTGCTGACGGTAATAGGAACTTTACTGAAGTTGCAATTCAAAGTTAGACATGCATTTGTATTTTAGGTCGGAAGAACTTGGGCTTCTTGGAAAGTCTGCTGGGAGAGGGGGCCACAGTCAGGCTATCCCTCATCTACCAGGGATACATTCAGAATTCCTGATCTTCATCCAGGTGCTGAATGTTCACCAAGGCTGGGAGAAAAAGCTGATTGTTCACCTAGGTTTTCATCTCTGTATCTGATCACCTCACATCAACGGATGAATTTTATCTTTATAAGACTCCTGTTGAGATAGGGAAATTTCGTCCCTCCAACCCTGTTTACAGATGGGGAAGACAGAGACAGGGGAGATTATGTGATTTGAACAAGGTCACACTGGAAATTTGTAATGGAGCCAGCAGATGACATCTGAGTCCCAGTTCAGCATGCTAGACCTAAAACTACCCTTTTTGCCACAGATGCCTTGTGTGGATTGCTGATGCTCTGGCCACTCAGCCATTGGCTTCTTGATTTTGTACCACTTAGAGTCTCAGGTGACTTCCCAAGCTTCTCCAAGGGGACTCTGGAGTCAGGGAAAAAGATACCCATAATGATTCTGTGGGCTTCACTGGAGAATGCATAGACCAGGCAGTTCTGTTTCCTGCTACAGCTTGAAGGAGCTGATACAGGAATATTTCTAGATCAGTATTATCAAATAGTGCAGAGGGGTCAGTTCCATGGTCTGGCCCAAAACCTGAGCAAGAGAAAATTAAAAATATTGGCACCTGGAAATAGATATTGACTGGATTTTAAATGGGTATGGGATGCCAAGTATCATGATTACTCTGTGTGTGTGTGTGTGTGTGTGTGTGTGTGTGTGTGTGTGTGTGTGTGTGTGTGTGTGTGTGTGTGTGTGTGTGTGT